AACTCAAGCCCTAGCTCTTCCAATTTTTACTCCAATTTCCATGAATTAAAGGTTGATTCTTCAATAAAATGACTTTTCTAGGTCACAAGACTTACCGCCAATCAATTCCCGTCAAAATCCTCTTCAATTTCTACCAAAAAGCTCTTAAGGTGGTCAACAATGGAGGAAATAATGAATGGGGTCGCGGATGAAATAATATAAAAAGCCCTCTGGACGCCCAGGTTTTTCCTTACGCGAACGCGGTCAACACCCCCGCGTTCGCAATGAACAAATTCCGTTGACCACAAATTACCTCTACGCGGACGCGACTCCAGGTCCGCGAAGGCGATGCTCCAACTCACCCTCTTACGCGAATGCGTTCGACCAACCGCGAACGCGATGCACAAACCAGGCAGGGCCCCAGGCCCCTTCTACGCGAACGCGAAGCAGCCCTCGCGAACGCGATGGTCTGCACAACTCCAAAATCAATTCCGACCACGCTCCTAAGTCACAAATCATCCCCCGAAGCTAACTGAATCACCGAAAATCACATCCGAACCTTCTAACTCATAAGTCACGTCCGGTTGACTTTTCCAACTTAAGCCTTTCTTAAAGAGACTAAGTGTCTCATTTCTTATCAAAACCAATCCAAATCAACTCTCACACACCACATACCGATAACGAAACGTGAAGAAGCAATAAACGGGGAAAACGGAGCAGTAACACATGAGACGACGGGTCGGGTCGTCACATCCTCCCCAACTTAAACAAACGCTCGTCCTCGAGCGTACTCAGAGTTGTACTAGAAGCCAACCAACAGCTGAATACCTTACCACGCATATACCCGGGGTGATCCCACGTCACCCTATCTCACATAGGTCCGATAATACATCATAGCTGAAATTTCACAGTCCATCAAGACCATAAACCGTAGAACCACATTGCACTGCCCGAAATCATACACAAGGTCAGGACCTCACATCTATACTCAGAATAAACCTGAACCAGCTGTAATAACCCATACCTGCAACCTCAGGTGAGATCATATGATATACCACATAATCCAAACACTCGAAACGATAGCCTCTATTTACCGCAGTTGCCCATAATAACCAAATACCGATAGAAAACCTTTTATTAGCTAAAGTCTTATTCCAACACTTCCATATACTGCCAACAACAAATGAAACACGCGATAAACCGTAACCATTCTTCAGATCAACCATTCATGAAGCCACTTCCCTTTGACTAATACCACAACAGATTTCCGAGCCGAACCTCGATATTAACCTTCCAACAAGCTGAAACCAAATCCGTTCGTATTCATTAATGACCACCAACGATCACCTCGGGTCCAACACACCACTCTGGTGATATTACACCTCAACATCGGCCTAAGCCGCAACTCGCATAATACACGCGCCAATAAGAGACGGTCTGAACATACTCAAATCATGAAATGACTCAAACGAAAGAGCTGTACCTCAAGCTCATCAATACCATTACAACACAAGGCTGAGACCCCGTCTCACATCATAGAATAGAACATATGAATCTACCCTGTCATAACTTCACGCAACCTCGCTACAACGCGCGATCATAACCAAACACTGTTACACATGAAGCAACTCAAGTCACTATGCCCAAAATCGACAGCCACGCACAATTTGATGTCTGAAACCAAAGCAATTCATTACACCCACGGTGAAACAAATAACATACAACACGCAACCCGATAGGTCATAACCAACATTCCATTTACCGAGCAACATCCAATTACTCTTCCCGCTCGACTTTCACTATGAATTCCCCAATAGAACCGCACCACATGTGCCTATACCCAACAAGTCATGACATCCCATAGCACAAAAAGCAACTTATAGATCTCCCCAGATCCCTAAACAAGCTCAATAACGATAGATCCAACCTATCCCTCAACAATAACACTTGGGACTAACCAAGCTAACTCAAGCTAAATACGTAGCCACATTGGCCTGCCAACGAGCTCATTATCAAGAAGCCTGAAGCTGCTTCTTCCACTACTATAACTCCCGTCGGAGCCGTACAATACGGTGCCCGGCACCAAATCAACATCGAAATCCACAACTTTGCCCGGCAACATGCCCGGCCACAAGGAACGCATCCGAAAAGGTCACTCAATACCGGAACTGAATCAATGGTAGAAACCTCTGCACTGACATCCGTCGCGAAGGCCCTATTAAGGAAAGCAATCCTTCTCAGCCGTCCGCTGAAATTTTTTTTGAAAATATATACCACTCTGCAAGAACCTAATACAATGCACCTCGCCACTCAACCCGTGGCATTTCCGGCATAGCCCGTAGTACAATAGTCTAGAATAATCCAACACTAAGACAACTAGTCTACAATCCAATATCATATCCAAAATCTGGCATACCAAGCAAAGAAAGATCCACTCGGACCTCTATTTCCCAATAACCGCTAGACGGTGCCGATACACAATAATTGCATAGCCTGAACACGAGAACTCCTAGTCTCCAACTCCATATAGCACACAAATCACTATACCTGATCCCAAATTGCGCCGCAGGAATACATATCACACCTCAAGTACCCAATCATCCCACGAAAGGTATTCTAAAGTTTTCTTGTGCCATCAAACAAACTCAGATATCAACAGTCGATTCCAAATGTCGCAACACTACCGAAGTATTATCAGTTTATATCACATTGCCCTATTACTGGAACATATACCCCCGTCGAATCACTATGGTTGGCAATACCATTTTCCTTAATCATTTGAAGATCGATTCTTTAATCACCTGCAGCTGCCCGTGCTGCTTAGGAATTTAATGACTTTCCATTATGAACAGAACCGTAACCTTACACACACCAATCCCAATCCTCCACCACATATCGCATATACCATACCACACTAGTATAACATGAGAACTCCATCTCCCTTCCTAACCACAAACATCTACGTACTCCACTAGTCAAGAACTCTCCATCAATCCCATCAAGAAGAGAAATCATTACACATTCCATGCTTCGCATGCCCATAGGCAATTCATACGCCTCTAAACCACGGTAAAACTTATCAAGAACTCTCCCCCAATTCCATTGCACAAGCTAAACTGCCAGGACTGAATCCTTCTTCCCGAACCAAGCTAAGAAAGCTGTCAGAACTCAAGAGCCTTGCTGCACAATACCTGCAAAGCCCATTACCTCGAACACATACGAAGAATTAATCACATCCTTACCATACCGATTCGGTCTACTATCAAGCTATTCCATCTATCTAATTTCCCTTTTTGATTCATCATCCACTTGATATTTCTCCCTCGCTGTAGCATCACAATGCCTCAATCCAAGCTTACCACACGAGACTCAAACATAAGACCACACTGTCTAAGATCCATAGGCCACTGAATACTCTCTCAATTGTTCCCCGGAAATACCACATTCCAGAATACTTCACTCTAAGAACTTTCTGCGAATCTAAATTCGCTTCCTTTACTTTTCAGGTATCGACACATAGGATCCCATGATCAACATAAAAATACCACAAGTCTTGACATTTTCTATTGAAACACTGTCTTTAGTCACATACACCACCTTAAAACACCTGAGTGCTACATGTAGATTCTTGAACACATTAAAACCATTCTCGAGAGTCATTCTCTCTTATTCATCTGCAAATTACCTGATTTAACGAACAGAACCACTCATGCTTTATTGACACTCTGATACCGTAAAATGAGACCCTCATCCCAATACAACCAAGCAACTTCCTGCTCTATGCACCGAGCATTCTTTACCAACAACAACTCTAGACATTCTGAAATTATCATACCCTATGGAACATGATATAACCTTTGTCTAAATTTTGCTTCACTCGCCCATCCTCGGCTCAATTTCTGCAACTAGAACCGATTCGCCAGTATACCTCGAGACGTAACCAACATAGCACATAACCGTGCAATCAGCTAATCAACAGCAACCTCCCCAACTTGGCTCGAAGCCATATATCAAGATACACTTAACAACTCATAACACTTTTACTCTAATGATGCCACAATGTCAAGAACGAAGAACAATCAAGTTCAAGTTCAAGCAATCAAACTCAAGATCAAGAACGAAGTCAAATCAAATACAAGGCGTTCAAGATCAAGGCTACTTGTTCGCGATAAAATTCGTGGCAACAATCAAAGTGTTCGCGACGGATTAATCAAATTCAAATTCAAGATCAAGCTCAAAGGCCCTTGAATTTATACTAGAAAAGTAGAATCAGAGGAATCATAGAGATTGTACACTCAAATATTCGAAATAAAATACTACGATTGTTGCAATATTTTTTCGGTCTTGATTTTATTTTCTTGACGCGAATTTATTGTCTACATAGTCGTACTTATTTTAGCAACTCAGTAATTTTAAATTATGTTTGTTTTCATTATGGCTTATTAATAATATTTATTTTATACGATTTATTATCTTTCTTGTTGAATATTTTAGTACAATGCCATGACTCATCTCATATTTATGTTATTTTATTGAAAACATCTTATATAGTTCTGTCTTACTAGGATTAAAGAAATATTTGGAGCAAAAATTCTATGTTTTGTGCTATGAAGACTTTATGAGGAAAAAAAAAACAAAAAATTCAAGAAAAACCGAGATTAAAAAACCCGATTTTATTGATTTGGTTTGGTTTTTAGATTTAATAACCGACACAATTAGTTTATTTTGGTAATTGAAAAATCCGAACCAGCCTAAAATCTAAATTCACACCTATGTATACCCCTAAAATCTAAATTCACACGCATGTTTAAACGATTATAATTTTTTTTTTTTTAAATTGTATTTATTGAGATGTAGGGTATACGTACATACCCAGAAACTAGTATATTAAAAAGCTGAGGCCGGACGATCACATTTAGACATTTTATAGCGCAAACATTTGGTGGAAAATAAGAAAAGGAAACAACCATAGATTTCACCTAAAGATAAGGAGCATACCGAAATAAAAAGGGAGAGGGAAAAGTAGGAAGGGTTCCCTTGTTGGAAAAATGAAACACCAACATCAAGATGACAAAATATCAATCATCCAAATTCCAACCACAACCACAGCCACAGCAATTGTAACTGGAATAATTGCATACATAGTCCAAATAACAAACAAGATGATTGCCACTGCAACAAACAGGAAAAGTTTAGATAGTCAGAAGCTTTCACGATATATACTTATTTCCATCTAAATCCACAAGTACTCCGACAACAAATCCTTCTTCAGGATACGCAAAATACCCTCAGAACTTCAAAGTCAGACACGGGAACTGCCAAGACATCTACCGTAAACGTTTAATAGTAGGAAGTTGCTCATCATGGTATGTCACAACTCTTTTTGAGATCATTAAACCGGGTTGATTTACTGTTGCTTCTGCTCCAACCAGCTATCCACCACACAGCCTGATCTCTCGGCCACATAAAAATCGATCCAACCAAGTCAAGGTTCTTAATTTGAAAGCTCCCAATTCCAGCACCTACTGACATCGGTCTCTACTCAACCAGTTTGAATAGCTCGGCACAAGCTGCACCAAACCCACAACTGTCCATAAGATGACAACAGAAAAATTACGACATTTGTAAGCACAGGCAAATTAACATCGATAATCTTCCAGTACATTAACATTAACAACCTTGAGGTATTAAAAGAAAGGAAAAAGTCTGAGCAGCTTTACATTGGAGTTAGGCAGTAAAGAATTGGACAAAGCCCTACTTATTTTGTTCCCTATTCTGCCAAGTTCAGAAGGAAAGAAATACAGGCATCAGGATCTAACTCTTCATTACCCAGACTCTCCGAGGAATAACAGGACAACTGCCACCAGGAACCAGGCCAATCTGACACCGAGACATGGTATAGGCAAGTGTAGAGTAGTTCAAAGTAAATGCATAATCTTGGAAGAAAAGAAATGGAGCCATTAGCTTAAGCGTGACCCGTACTTCCTAGTTGCTCAGGACATGCGGAGCTTGTTCGAAAGTATCAAAAGATACCCGGAGAACCTATTCTTGTATGACTGTTCTGGACTTAGAATAATCAAAAGCCCGCTGACACAAACCACATGGGCACACTTAACAGGTCAAACAGTTGTCAGAACGAGAGAAGGGGGAGAGAAACGAGGAGAAAAGGCAGCGGCAAATACCTGCTCAACAGCGAGTGCCTGCAACATTCCAAGACCATCCATGCTGCAATAAAAAACATAATAACCTTGGCCACAATGCAATAAGATGGTTGAACTTCGTAGCAACAGGCTAGAGGACATTCTCCTCAGTAATTGTTAACCTGTACAGCATGGAAACACAATTGAGAGAATGTACACTTTGGTATATTGAAGAACAGTCTGATTCGTTTCAGTAACTTTATAATTAAAAAGAACAAGGAAGATGCATTTCACCATCTAGTCTCCCTATCCATCACACAAGGTAACGATCTTGCCACAGGGACTGTCCTCGATACTGCTGAGGCAGTGCAACAGATTGTTGATTTGCTTTCTGAATATCTGACTGCATGTGCACAGAGGGCACCTGTTTCCCAGGGAAAGGGAAGCTAACCATCCCAACTACGCTACCACTGTTGCTCACAGAGTGGTATGTTTGTGTTGATTGATTGTGAGAGTTATTGTAACCAATGCTCTGATGTGTTGAAGGTAACTGATATCCATTCAACCAGCTATAATCATCCATACGATAGATGGGATTGTTTTCATTCTTTAAGGTCAAAGCAGATGAAGAGTCATCTACTTTCGAAGCAGCAGAACCAAACCCTGGAGGTGGACCCAGATGCCTAACAGGTCGGCTCACTGGATTTTTCTTCATTCCTGTCGAGATAACTGATGAAGATTTTATTGACAAGCTATCTGAACCAGCTACTGAGGATGTAAGTGAACTGAAGGTAGATGGTATAGCAGCTTCTGGAACCTGGACATGAATATTATTCGCAGTGCTAAAATTCACAGACCGGGGTAAAGGGACTGAATATGCTGCAGGTGGAACCCTTTCTGGATGATTTAGCAACTCAGGTTCTGCAGTTAGCCCATTTCCCATCAAGTTAAGGCCCCCCACCAATCCATTCATAACAGCATCTTGCTCTACAGACCACATGGAAGCACTTGTTTGGATTGGCTGCACATATTGGGTATTGGTATGAGCAATGCTTGTTGGCTGCCTTACATTTGTACTCCAAGCATTCTGCAAGCTCAATCCCTCAAGTGCAGATGAAAATGGCCCCATCTCACTACAGATATTAACAGAAGCCATGCTAACACCAGAAGGAACACTGGCAGCGCTAATAACAGACACAGGAACTGCTAAGGTCATTGTATTTGAAGAGATGCCATTCACTTTTTCCATCACTGACGGCTTAAAAACGATAACTTCGTCTTCTTCCTCACATTCCACATACAATTGCTGTTTTGGCTGCAGATCTCCGACATTCAACAGTCCAGCATCTGGACTTTCCAGTTCAATACCACTTAATTTAGTAACTTCCCTGGAGCCATTAAGTTGATAATCATCAGAAGCTTGGGGCTCAAGGCCAATGACAAATTTCTTTCCCCTGGTGTCAAAATATATTCCCTCTTCTCCAACCCGGACCACATTAGCAAGAGCCTTTCCAGCTGCTATCATCCTCTGAAGACGTGCCTTCTTCTCTTTACTTCCACTATCACCACCAAAAGAATGTTTCCTTGAGAAGTCAAGGATAAGCTGAGCTGGAAGAAGAGGAACAAATCCTCTAAGTTCAAAGTCTTCCGGCAACGCAAGACGATTACCACTCTCACCTTCATCATACCTGCTCATATTGAAAAAACATGTTTCATCTTCATCTTCATCGACAAACTTAGACCCAGTCGACAAGAGCTTATTAAAGAAAGTGATGCAGTTCTTCCAGAAAAAAGATCTAGCCCTTGCTTGTTTTTCCTCTGATTCATTACCAAGTGCAATATCTTGATGGCACGCCAACCATTCTACGAAAACCAAAACACCGGGCAATAAGAAGCTAGATGAGGGATCATTTAATTGGATACATCTCTCAACCACATGACCCATGAACTCAAAAGCAGCAGTAAATGCATTCTGTAGAAGAACTGATCTCTGTAGAATCTCAGAATATGATTGATTATCACTTTCCCTTATCACATTATGGATGGTGAATATTAAGATGGCGACGAGCCTGACAATTGCCAGTCTGCAGTCTGCAGCATCTAAACCAAAATTATACTTCTCATCAGACCCAGAAGAGAGAAGCTCAAGCAGATCAGCTTTAACCGATGACAGCACTTCTTCAAACGTCTCCAAGCTGATCAAAGATGGTAACAATATAGTGTCATCACTTAGTTATGGTGTGTCCAAATAGCAGATATTTTTTTTAGATAGGGAACATACCTAGTGCGTGTGAAGAGGATACCATTCAACCGAACGAATCCCATCCTGAAGGTTTTGAAGATTTCAGATATACTTGAAGCTTTTTCCTTGGGTAAACTTGCTTCAACCTTTACATCTTTCAGAGGCTTCCTTGTTTCACATTTACCTCGTCCTTTTCCAGTTGTACGTGAAGGTTCTGCCTTGATGAACAAAGCCTTAGCATCCCTTGGCAGCTGGGAGTAACACTGACGATTCTGTCATAACAGAGAGATCATTTTTTTATAAGGACCATAACAGAGAAATCATGACACTAAGTCAAGTATACGACCCATTGCAACAGTAGAAACAGTCCAAATGAGAAGTACAGATGCCCAGAAAACTTTAACATGAAAGAGTCTTTGGGCAGAACTTGAACACTTGAAAAAGATCAACATACACTAGATAAGCACATCGTGGTCACTCCTTGACAACAAAAAGAATGGAAATCGAAGTTCCATAACCAGCAGCAACTGAAAAGATGTATATCGGAGTTCCACTACAAGATCTCAGGAGCTTCCTATAAATGGATTTAGGTGTCTATATTGCTTGATAAAGAAAATTTCATAATGATATAATTTAAACGTCATCTACACCTTTGATTTATATTGTTCTTTTTCTAAATAAAAATTCAAATTTCCTTTTGATTTTATACTAACCATGGGAGTAACACTGACGATTCTGTCATAACAGAGAGATCATTTTTTTATAAGGACCATAACAGAGAAATCATGACACTAAGTCAAGTATACGACCCATTGCAACAGTAGAAACAGTCCAAATGAGAAGTACAGATGCCCAGAAAACTTTAACATGAAAGAGTCTTTGGGCAGAACTTGAACACTTGAAAAAGATCAACATACACTAGATAAGCACATCTTGGTCACTCCTTGACAACAAAAAGAATGGAAATCGAAGTTCCATAACCAGCAGCAACTGAAAAGATGTATAACGGAGTTCCACTACAAGATCTCAGGAGCTTCCTATAAATGGATTTAGGTGTCTATATTGCTTGATAAAGAAAATTTCATAATGATATAATTTAAACGTCATCTACACCTTTGATTTATATTGTTCTTTTTCTAAATAAAAATTCAAATTTCCTTTTGATTTTATACTAACCATGGAAAGTATGTATTACTACTCTCAGGTTGGATCAATTTTTTCTACTTTCTCATCACCTCTACCAAATGAAACTTTCTCAACCCTGGATTGGACCATCTGTGGTTAGAAAAGTCCTTAGTACGTTGATTCTTTTTTTTTTCGAATGAGGTAGTTTCATTGATGGCATCAAGAAGATGTGAAAAGTACAAAAAGAAAGTCAGCTCCATTACATAGTATTATTTAATATGAAATCAGTGATAACAAAATCCAAAAGTGGATCATTTACAGAAGAGAAGTTATTCCATCAAAAAAGAAGACGAAGACAACTGGCTTTTAGGGAGTGATTTGGAGTTGAAATTCCATCAAAACATTACGACTTCTTTCCGTCCATACACACCAAAAAATACTTGCAGGGACCATTTGCCAGATTTTTTAATTGATTTTCCAGCTTTCCCTGAACTCCGGATAAAGATCTAAAACAAAGACCAACAAGATCTTAATGGAACAACTCAATAAGCTGCTTACCTTCTCAAACGCAATGATTAAGTTGTCCCTTGCAGTGGTAAAAGGATTCTCTACTGCAAGACTACGAAAATACCGATAGATTGCCACCAACTCATCACTGGAATAGGAAGCCAGTATTGCAAGCTGAGAAAACAGCACAATCAGCTAATCTTTTCAAATATAAACAATAAGATACCAACTATTGAATAGGAAGATTACTCAATGATCTCTTCTTTCCATGCCTTAACACCACCCCCC